TTAACCATGCTACCTGGAAAAATTCATGGGCCCAATAATTATGATCAACATATAGGTCACCAAGGTACTCTCTCTCTTTTCAGTCACTGCTTCATGAGCATTTGAATATTTAATTTCTTTATCATTTGTGTTGCTTCAGAATTACATCTTCCGTTGAATTTCCATTTGATCTTTGGCTGCTGTTAGTGATTGTAATTTTTTTAGTATCTGCAAGAACTTTTATCATTTTAATTTAGTTAATAGAAATCGTTTTTTGATTTCATATATCTCTCCTGTAAGTCAGGTAGTTGTAGATGTGCCATTGCGTTTCAAAAGCCCACAAGATTGTATGATATCATACATTAAAACACTTATTGTTCCAAAAAGTTCTTGCGCTCAATTTATTGTGAAAGGATTCAACCTTTTCAGTCTAGCACAAGGTAAATCTCTTTACCTCTGATGATATTCAAATTTTTTTGACTTAAAAGGTTCTAGCAACAGTAAAGGATTGGTGCCAGGGGCTTATGCCTAGCTACAAAGTAATCATTTCTGTTTGAGGTATATCACACTGCTGGATACATTTCATAAGGAGTTGAGAAAAAGAAAAAAACAATAGTGTATTCCTTTTTCCTGGGACTTTAGCACATGCAAGGTATTTATTCAGCCACTGAAATAATTTTGTAGAGTGATCAGAGATTTTGGGAGAGGCGGAGGTGTGGAGGGAAATTTTACCCATGTTGTAGGATATAAATTTGGTTTATTTTCTGTGAATGATTTTTGACAAGGGAAGATCTGCATCTTGAATTTTCTTTTTTTATTGGGATTGGCCTAGATGTTAATCTGTTGCTAATTATTTCCAGGTTGTTCTGTGCACTTGAAGGGAAATATTTGGTATATCATAGTTGTCTTGATTTGCTTGATGGAGTTGATTTAGCCACTCAGCATCTTAGCTTCTCTTGTCAAATACCAAATGTAACTAGGAGGAGGTTTATTGAGGTGGTCTATCACACATTCACACTCCAATTTTTTCTATACAACTATTTTTTGGGTTTTTCTATTCAATGAAGGGAAATGCGTTGAAGATTTGATGATTGCTAGCATGTATGAATTCTTGTGTAATAGGCAAAACTTTTCTTATTATTTGGATTACATTAACAAAATCTAAATATTATATAAAAATAAAACCGGTTTTGATTAAAATCAGATTTAAAACCAAATTTAATTAAAACCATATTTAAAACCAGTTTTAATTAAAACTGAATTTGAAACCAATTTAAAATCAAATCCAAATTTTAAAATTGGTTTTCAACCAATTTTCAATAAAATAAAATAAATGGATTTGAAATATATTTGGATTGGTTTTGTACAAATCCAATCCATGCACAGCCCTAGGTAACATTCTCTTTGTCTTTTTTTATCTTGCTTAGCATCCACAAAGGATTTCTTTCTTTTGCCTTTATTGGCATTTTCTTCTCCAACATGATTCACTTTAGAATCTTGAGAAAGATACACAACATCACATTTTTTAGTTTCCTCTTCTATACGTAAATGTCTTAATAATCTTTCAACAGAGTAGTGTTCTCCAAGATGTAGGAGTTTCTTCGTATAATCATTCCAAAATGAAGGTAATTTTGAAATAATTGCTCCAACATGTAATGATCCAGGAATTATTACTTGTAGATCACAAAGTCTACCTACAAGAATTTGTACCTCATGAACTTGATCTATGATAGGCATGTCATCAACCATATTAAATTCAAAGTACTTCAACATGATAAATTTATCTGTACCTTGTCGTTCATCATTGTATTTCTCTTTTAATGACTTCTAAATCTCTAATGGCGATTGAGTTGACATGTAGAGATCATAAAGTCTATTTGACAAGGTGTTGAGAATTTGTCATCGGCATGCAAAAGTGTTCTCATCATGCTTTTTCTTTAATTGGACAATCCTTTCTTTTTCTTCTTCAGTTGCATCTCGTAACGCCCCGAATTTTGTAATATAAATTTTGATAATTATATATATATATATATATATATATATCTAAATGTATATTCATGTGTGTATGTATGTATATATATGTGTGTGATTGTTTGGTTTGAGCTAGTTGAACTGAGTGCAGGGCGAGATACTGAGCTGTTCTCGCTGCAGCGAGAGGATTCTCGCTGTGGCGAGAAGGCCCTGGGAGGAAAGACTAGAACTATCGCCTTCTCGCTATAACAAGGGATGTCTCGCTGTAGCGAGAGAGCGACAGTCTGGGGTGCATTTTTGGGTGCAGTCTCGCTGTAGCGAGATTCTGCAGAAACCAGAGTGCAGTTTTCTCTGGTTTTTTTGCTGTAGCGACAGGGCGTGTCGCTGCAGCAAAGATATCTCGCTGTAGCGAGAGTGTCGCGACTAGAGAGGTATTTGAAGGGTTAGGGTTCAAGAAGAGGGTTATTTTCACGATTTCCCTCTCTTTCCTTCACAATTCTCTCTACCCAAACCCATTCTTACCGATTAAAACTCCTCCAAGATCGATTGGAAGCTAGATTGAGGATTAAGGAAGTATTTGGCGCTCTTGAAGGTAAGTTCTATGGCTAGGGTTTTAGTTTTCGTCCCTTACTTTCATTTTCTGAGGTTTTCCTTAAGTTCCCTTGGAATTTCTGTGTGCTTTAGAGAGGAAATCCATGTGGGGAAGCGATTGCATCAACGTTTCATGTCTGGTCTTCATTTTTGAGGTAAGGGGAGTACTTTTTACTTTAGTTATCTTTGCTAGGAATGAGTTTATTTGAACGAATATAGTAATATGATAGAAATAGGAAATGAGGTTATGTGTATTGATGAATTGTACGAATTAGGTTGAGTCTGGAGGTGTCCGACCTCCGACATATTGTGTGAAATTGAGTGATGTGCTTGTGTTGGTTGCCATTGGATGCAAGGAAATGATGTGAATTATATACTGGATGTTGTGAATGAGTATGGACACTCGTATCGTATGATTAAATGAACATTGTGTGAAAAGGTGAGCCCGAGGGCCGTGTAATATGAATGGAAATAGGCTAGGGGCTGTGTGTCTTGAATGAATTGTGAGCTATGTGCTGTGTGTGCTGTGAAAAATGAAATGTAGGCCTAATGCCGTAACTGTTAAATGTGGACTATGTGCTGTATATTGAAATGTGTGTGACTGGGGCATGCAACGCCGTTGTAATATGCTGTGAATAGTTCAGTGATACACTGGGAGAGTGGGAGATGAGGACGGTAGAAATACCTTGGGAAAGAGGGAGTGGTGGTGACACCGACTGTGGAACGGGTGCACCACAGGCCACAAACTCTATTCCTGACTAGACCTCTGACCATTACCTTTGTTGGGCGACCTGTGACTGCCCACATGGTATCCGTGAGGTGGGGGTAATCGGCAACCATTCATGGTGTAAATTTATGATCATAGTGTTAATGTGAGTGTGGCTGGCATGCGTATGCGTGGGTTCATGATTTATGCCTTTGGATGTGATAATGTTGCCTGTGCCTGTATTTGTTTAATATATTAGAAATGTGCTGAAGATGAGACTCTATGCTTAATTGTATGTTTTGGTAGTGTAGAGTACTTACCCTTACATTCATTTTTCAGGTAATCAAGACGATCAGTACCGGGCTTAGTGAAGGGGTGGATGGAACTGCTATAGAGCTTAGAATATTATTTTGAAAACTGTTGTATTTAGGATAAGTCCTGTAGCAACTGTTCGATATAATTTGTAAACCATTTCTTTATTTGAAATGCTTAATGAACTTGGATTGAAAATGAAAATTTTATTATTTCAAAAATTTGCGAAATTCTCTATTTATTGAAATTAAGTTAAGGTGTTATAATTTTGGTATCAGAGCAGTTCATCCAAACCGGACTAGGGTATCGGGCTGAAGCGTCCAAGATAAGTGTTGATTGTTTTGTTTGCCTGAATTATAATGTACAATTGATCTAATGTGCTGGAATGTGATTGTTGACTTGCTGTAACTAGATTGAATATGTCTGGTAGAGGTAGAGGTAGAGGAGCTAGAGGCACCAATGACCTCATGGAGCGTATGGCTCAAATTCTGGAAGCCATAGTGCACAACCAAGGCGGAGAGCCGGCTGAGTATCGAGGGTTATCTGCCTTCACTAGGCATGATCCTCAAAAGTTTGAGGGTGGATTCAATCCCGAAGGAGCCTAAAGGTGGGTGGTTGATGTGGAGAAGATTTCAATGCTATGGGATGCCGTGAGGAGAACAAGGTCGCCTATGCCACTTACTTGCTATGTGGGGAGGCTGAGGACTGGTGGAGATTTGTTGGTCAGACCCTGCCACAGGAGGATGGCTACATCTAGTGGGAGACATTCAAGACCATCTTCCTAGGGAACTACTTTCCCCGGGACCTAAGGAAGCAAAAGGCTAGGGAATTCTTTGAACTGAAGCAAGGAAGTATGACTGTTGGAGAGTATGCGGCTAAGTTCCAAGAGCTGATGAAGTACTGGCCTCACTATCAGCATGGTGATGGAGAGGAGGACCTGTGTGCTCAGTTTGAGCATGGATTAAGGCCAGACATCCGGGCTGCAGTCAGTGTGTTTCAACTGAAAGACTTGCCCACTCTGATGAGCAAGAGCAGAATCTTTGAAGCTAACTCAAGGGGAAAGACAATGGACACTAAGGGAGTCGGCCCTGTGAGGCAAAATAGAAGACCCCCTAGGTTCTTAAGGGGACCGTATTCGGGTTCGAACAGCTCTCAGTCTCGAGGGAGTTCATCTCAAGAGAGGAGTAGTGGTAGTGGTTCAGGATCGAGTTCTTTCAGAGGGCCGCTTAAGTGCTTTAGATGTGGAGGGCCACACATGGTGAAGCATTGCCCACAGCCGAGGATAACTTGCAACAACTGTGGGAAGTCAGGACACAGTGCTAATAAGTGCTGGGTTGCTAAGAGAAGCGGTAGTGCAAGTGCAACTTAGAGACCAGAATCAAGAGGAAGTACGGGGCCAAGTTCAGGGCAGAAGCCGAGTATTCCTGGTCGACTCTTTGCTATGAGTGGGGCAAAGGCTTCACAGTCAGAGGAGCTGATCCGAGGTAAATGCATTATTAAGGGTCGATTGCTTGATGTGCTGTTTGATCTGGGTGCTACGCACTCTTTTATATCTGTGGACTGTGTGAAAAGTCTGAACTTGTATGTGACATAACTGCCTTGTAATGTTGTGGTGACTACCCCTACGGGTAAGCCAGTTGTAACATCATGGGTATGTTTAGAGTGTGCAATGATGGTACATGGTAGGGAGTTCGAGGTGGACTTGATTTGTTTACCTCTTTCTCAATTGGATGTAATTCTGGGAATGGATTGGCTTGCTGCCAACCATGTGCTGCTGGATTGTAGGGAGAAAACCTTGATTTTTGGGGCAACAGTTGCAGAGGTTCCAAGGCTGATGAGTCAAGGTGCATGGGAGAACATGGTGAACGCCAAGGCTTTTATGATTATGTTTTCAATGGAAGCCGAATGTGTGGTGGAGCCAGAGTATATTCCAATAGTCAAGGATTTCTTAGAATTTACTATCGACCTCATTCTAGGAGCAAGTCCAATTTCTGTGGCACCTTACAGGATGTCGCCAGTGGAGTTGGTAGAGGTCAAGAAGCAAGTAGAAGACTTGTTGCAAAAATGATTTGTGAGACTGAGTGTATCACTGTGGGGAGCACTAGTGCTCTTGGTCAAGAAGAAGGACGGAAGCATGAGGATGTGTGTGGATTACTGGCAGCTGAATAAGGTGACAGTCAAGAACAAGTATCCACTTCCGAGGATTGATAATTTGATTTACCAATTAAGGGGAGCCACAATGTTTTCGAAGATTGATCTGAGATCAGGATATCATCAAATCTGAGTGAAGGATGCAGATGTACCTAAGACGGCGTTTAGGATGCGGTATGGTCACTATGAGTATTTGGTGATGCCGTTTGGGGTAACCAATACGCCTGCGGTGTTCATGGACTACATGAACAGGATCTTCCATGAGTTTTTGGATAAGTTTGTGGTAGTGTTTATTGACGACATTCTAATTTATTCAAAGACTCAGGAAGAGCATGCCAAGCACTTGAGGATTGTTCTACAAATTCTGAGGGAGAGGCAACTGCATGCAAAATTCTCCAAGTATGAGTTCTGGTTGTCAGAGATCTAATTTCTGGGGCATGTTGTGTTGAAGGAAGGAATCATGGTAGACCCTGCAAAAGTAGAAGCAGTGGCTGAGTGGCCGAGGCCGACGAATGTGACAAAAGTGTGCAGTTTCCTTTGATTGGCGGGCTATTACAAGAAGTTCATTGAGGGATTTTCCAAGCTAGCGTTGCCCTTAACAAAGCTAACCCGTAAAGGAAAGGAGTTTAAGTGGACCAAGGGGTGTGAATCTAGTTTCTTGGAGCTGAAGATAAGGTTGACTTCGGTGCCGGTGTTGGCTCTACCTGACCCGGAGCGAAAGTTTGATGTGTATTGTGATGCATCTGGACAAGGACTTGGTTGTGTATTGATGCAAGACGGGCAAGTGGTCGCCTATGTTTCAAGGCAGTTACATCCGTATGAAGTCAACTATCCAATGCACGATCTAGAGTTAGCCACAGTGCTTTTTGCCCTTAAGGTGTGGAGGCACTACCTATATGGGGCGAGGTTCGAAGTGTTCAGTGACCATAAAAGTTTAAAGTATCTATTTGATCAAAAAGAGCTAAATATGCGACAGAGGAAATGGATGGAATTCCTTAAGGACTACGACTTCACATTGTCTTACCACCCTGGCAAGGCAAATGTGGTAGCCAATGCATTGAGCCAGAAATCATTGCATGTGGCGGCAATGATGGTGAAAGAGATGGGGTTGATTGAGGAATTTCGAGACATGAATTTGGCCATGGAGGTAAGGCTGGGGAGTCTATATCTCGGAATGACGGCGATTCACAACAACTTTCTGGTGTATATCTGAGATGCTCAGCAGGGAGATGCTTTCCTGCAAGACATGATGAGACAGAAGGATGAGGGAAAGGACTTGGATTTCCACTGTGATGAGTGATGTGCTTGTGTTGGTTGCCATTGGATGCAAGGAAATGATGTGAATTATGTACTGGATGCTGTGAATGAGTATGGGCACTCGTGCCGTATGATTAAATGAACATTGTGTGAAAAGGTGGGCCCGAGGGGTAACCGTGAGGTGGGGGTAACCGGCAACCATTCATGGTGTAAATTTATGATCACAGTGTCAATGTGAGTGTGGATGTGATAATGTTGCCTGTGCCTGTATTTGTTTAATGTATTGGAAATGTGCTAAAGGTGAGACTCTATGCTTAATTGTATGTTTTGGTAGTGTAGAGTACTCACCATTACATTCATTTTTCAGGTAATCAAGACGATCAGCACCGGGCTCAGTGAAGGGGTGGATGGAACTGCTATAGAGCTTAAAATATTATTTTGAAAACTGTTGTATTTGGGATAAGTCCTGTAGCCACTGTTCGATATAATTTGTAAATACTTTCTTTATTTGAAATGCTTAATGAACTTGGATTGAAAATGAAAATTTTATTATTTCAAAAATTTACGAAATGCTCTATTTATTGAAATTAAATTAAGGTGTTACACATCTTCAGTAGCATTAGGAATTTGCATGGTATTTGGATTAAGCACATAAGCAAGATTTAGTACTGAAAGAAGAAACATCATTTTGTCCTTCCATTGGCTGAAGTTTGTCCCATCGTATCAATCTAGTTTGACAAACTCTTGATTCATGACCTTGAAAGTAGTATTATGATCTTGAGTCATCTTTAATAGGATATCTCTCTAAATTTTTTAAGAATCTTGGTGTAGAAGATGATGAAGAAGAATATAAAATACTGGTTCCAAGGCACGAAATATATCGCTATCTTTAGAGAGATATTCGCCTCCACACGAAATTGCTATGGATTGTTGACGATACTCCCCCAGGATACAATGAAACCTTTAAATTTCTTGTCTAGTACTAACAAGAATTTTTCTCTCTTGAACTTGAAATTTAAGAACACTCAAATTCGTAAGTTACACACAGTAAAAGTTCGTTACGTGTTCAATAATGGAGATTATTTATAGTTGATGATTTAAACACAAGTGAACAATTACATCTTTTCACTTGAGAGTCATGTCTTTTAAAACCAAGAAATACCCTTAAAAGTCATATTCTTTCACTTGAAAGTCATCTCTTTAAAACCAAGAGATATCCTTAAAAGTCATATTCTTTCACTTGAAAGTCATGTCTTTAAAACTAAGAGATGCCTATATGAACCAACACACTTGTTTATGGTTGATAACCATTTTATCTCTCTTAATAAGTTAAATCATTTACTTTTAAACTTGTAAATATAGTTCAAGAAGGAGTGTTTTATATTATGTCATTAGCAAGAGTTCATGCATATAAGTTATTTGTTAAAATGAGATGTAAGAAGGCGTGTTAGATATTTGTTTTTGAACTGCACATGGCATTTTATTTGTTTCATCTTTTACTGTTTTAGTCATTGAATAAGTCTTTTCAGTCAAAGTAGCTATTCCTAAATTTTAGGGGAGAGTATTTCAGTTTTATCTTAGTCAATTTTTTTTGTTACTGCAAGCATTATAAATGTATTACAATTGGCAACCAAATAAAGAAGAATTCACACGATTTATGTCGTTTCAATTTATTTATTCTTCCTCTATTTTTGCTACTGTCTTTATTCCTTAAAAACAAAAATTGGTATCGAGAGCCCTTTTCTTATGGGACCTTGAGAATGGATTCTGAAACAAGTTTTTCCCAAACAACTCTTCCAGTTTTCAATGGGAAAAACTATTATCTTTAAGCTGTCAAAATAGAAGCTTACCTAGAGGTTTTGGATCTTTGGGAAGATGTAGAAGAGGATTATGAAGTCCTTCCGCTACCAGACAATCCCACCATGGCCCAAATCAAGAATCATAAGGAGGAAAAAACCCCGAAAAGCAAAGGCAAAGTCATGCCTTTTTGCTGATGTCACTACAACCATTTTTACTAGGATCATGACTCTCAGATTGGCAAAAAACAATTTGGAATTGTTTGAAGGAGGAATATGCTAGAGATGAAAGAATTCAGAACATGTAGGTGCTTAATTTAATGAGGGAATTTGAGTTGCAAAGGATGAAAGAATCTGAGACAATCAAGGAATACTTAGACAAATTGTTAGGTATTGCCAACAAGATGAGGTTGCTGGGCAATGATTTTGCAGATTCCAGAATTGTCGAGAAAATTCTAGTAACAGTGCCAAAGAGGTACAAAGTGTTGTTCGCAATCTAACACTAGCAAGTGCACTAGGATTGCAGCAAGTAATGAGTAAATTTAAGATCCAAATATCGTCTCCACAGGGAATTTAGGTTTCAAATACCACTTCATAGAATTATAACCATTTAAGCTTTTTCAAAATTTGAAGGAGAGTAGTAACATGTAATAACAACAACCAGAACAATTAAAAGTAAAATGAACTTATAGAAAACAGAACAATGAACAAACAATTATGTGATAACAGAGAAAGAAACCATAGCTAGGAAATTGCTTCACCAAAACTCCAATGTTTAATCAATAAAGTTCTGAATTAACAAGCATTTGGAAAGAAAGACAATCAATTTCACGTTCTATTGTTCAGAGGTTAATTTCTTAACTCAGTGAACCTAACATTTAATTAAAACATTCTAATTCCTTAGATCTGATTTAATTCAACATTGCTTTAAGTATAAGAAACCAAAAGATTGCAAGATCAAAGTTCCTTATCCCTAAGAAAACTATAATCTTGGTGATTGGTTCAGATATGAAGAACAAATTCAATTTCCATTGACAAGAGTTCCTCTGAAATTAGTTAATCAAATTTCCATTCAATTCCTACGTAAAGTGCAGAATTAATCACTCAATCTATTCCAAAGCTTGAAATCCAGATTCAAAATCAATTCAACATATTCGTTTCAGATCTACAATCCCTAGCTATGAACAAATTACACAGCCATGGCAGCAGAGAAAAGAAAAGAAAGAGAAGAAGAGAAGAAGAAAATCAGAATCGCCATGGAAGCTTGCTCCACTCCAATTCCTCTTCGTGAAGTTCCGAGATTCGAATCCCCACTCCTCTCTCTCACTTCCTCTAACAAGAATCTAACTAAAAAAAACTGAAAATGAACAGAATCCTTTCTTTCCGGATCGTTTCTGGTATTTATAGAATTTTCCAGATTTTCACGTCATCACTTTTATGAGAAATAGTAGTTACGCAGAGGGTTTATGGTTGCGCGTTAACACTTTTCCCAGTAATAGTGGCCACGCGCAACTTCCTGATATTGAGAGCTCTCTGGAACTATCACTCTTGCTGATAAAAGTGACAACGCAGAGCCAAAGTAGTTGCGCGTTATCACTCTTACAGATAAAAGTGACTACGCACAACTCGCCAAGTTGAAGACTCTCTGGAACGATCACTTTTGATGACAATAGTGGTTACGCATAGCTTTCCTGATATTTTGCCTCTCTGGAACTATCACTTTTAATGATAAAAGTGGTAACGCCCAGGCTTCACTTCTTCTTTGAGCTCTGAAGTGATCACTTTCACTGACAATAGTGATCACACCCAGTCTGCATTTCTTATTCTTGTGTTTTTAGAGTCCAGACTTGCTTCTTTCCTCTTCCTTGTCATCAAACCTCCATGAATATGATCCTTGCTCAAATTATTCCTTCAAAAATAAGATTAAAAACTTAATTTCTAAGCAAAAATTTCACAATTGCTAAAATAACTACAAATTTAAACAAAACTTCAATTCCTTCTCTTTTTCTGAGTTTTTTTTTGCTTTCTTTATATATTTTTCTTATCAAATGTGTTAGAATTATGCTAAAATATCAGTCAAAATATAGATTCATCACAAAGCATCTATAGCTTTATTGGAGAACACAAAGGATCTGTCTAAGATCACTTTGGCAGAAGTGCTACATGCCTTGCAGGCCTAAGAGCAGCGAACTTGATGAGACAAGATCATGTTGTTGAAGGTGCTTTGCCAACAGCATCATGAAGTTGAGAAGAGCAATGAAAATCCAGCAAACAACCAGATTAAAGGCAAGGGAGGAAAGAAAAACTATCCACCTTGTCAACATTGTGGTAGTAAAGGTCTTCCACCCTTCAAATGTTGGAGAAGACTAGAGGCAAAATGCAACAAGTGCAACCAGATGGGGCATGAAGCTGTAATTTGTAAAAACAAAAATTACCATAATGAAGGAGCTTAGATTGCCGATCAAGAGGAGGAAAACTGACTGTTTGTAGCTACTTGTTTCTTGAGCAATGAGTCAAATCAAAGTTGACTAATTGGTAGTGGCTGTACCAACCACATGATTTTTGACGAGGCACTCTTCAAAGATTTGAGGCCAACTAATGTCACCAAAGTTAGAATAGGCAATGGTGATCATATCACAGTCAGAGGAAAAAGGACAGTTACAATCACAAGCTGTGTAGACACAAAATTTATTCTTGATGTTCTTTCTGTTCCTCAACTTGACCAAAACCTATTAGGTGTTGGTCAATTGATTGAAAGTGGATTTAAAGTTGTTTTTGAAGACAAATATTGCTTGATTAAGGATGCAGCTAGGTAAGATATGTTCAAGGTGAAAATGAAAGGGAAAAGCTTTGCTCTAAATCCATTAGAGGAAGAGCAAATTGCTTTCTCACTCAAGGAAAATGTCACAAAAATTTGGCATCAAAGGCTTGGGCATTATCATCACCAAGGGCTCTTGCAGTTGAGTGAAAAAAGGCTAGCACTTGATGTTCCTGAACTTGAGGATCGAATTTCAAATTGCAAAGCCTGTCAATTTGGCAAGCAACATAGAAAACCTTTTTCAAAAACAGCATGGAGAGCATCAAGGAAGCTGTAATTAATTCACACAGATGTTGCAGGACCTCAAAGAACACCTTCATTGAAAGGTAATCTTTATTATATTCTCTTTATTGATGACTTTACTAGAATGTGCTAGATCTTTTTCTTCAAGAACAAATCAGAGGTGGCTGAAATTTTTTGGAAGTTCAAAGCTGAATTTTTTTGGAAGTTTAAAGCCAAGGTTGAGAACGAAACTGGTTTTAAAATTCAGATTTTGAAATCAGACAATGGCACTGAGTACACATTTGAAAAATTCAATCAATTTTGTGAGGATTCTAGCATTGAACATCAACTAACCGCTCCCTATACCACAACAAAATGGGGTTAGTGAGAGGAGAAACTGGTATATTTTGGAGATGACGAGATGCATGCTGTATGAGAAGAATTTACCAAAGGAACTTTGGGCAGAGGTAGCAAGTACGACTGTTTTTCTTCATAATAGACTTACCGCCAAAGCTTCAAACGATCAAACACCATTTGAGGTCTGGTATGGTTACAAACCATCTCTAAAATTTCTAAAAATATTTGGTTGTTTGTGCTTTACTCATGTTCCACAGAGCAAGCGAGATAAGCTGGATAAAAGAGCATCATCGGGTATCTTTATAGGCTACAGTACAGTCAACAAAACCTGTAAAATCTTTCAGCCACAATCAGAAAAATGGTTATTAGCAAGGATGTTTATTTTGTGGAAGATGAAGAATGGAATTGGGAAGATAAAAAGAAGACAGATATGGTCTCTATCGATGTAAAGTTCAAGTCTTCAGCCTCAAACACAAAATAGAATGACGATGAAAGCTGGCAAAATGAATTAGTGGATGATATTCCAGTAAAAGGTACCAAATTGCTCTCCGAAATTTATTAAAGATGCAATATTTCTGTGTGTGAACCTGCAGACTATGAAGAAGCAAAGAAAAGTCCAAATTGGATGGCTGCAATGAAGGAGTTGTCAATGATCGAGAAAAACTAAACCTGGATTCTTGTGAAAAAAACCTCGAGGCAGAAAAGTAATTGGAGTTAAGTAGGTGTATAGAACTAAGCTAAATACTGACGATTCTATCAACAAACACAAGGAAAGACTCGTGGTGAAAGGTTATGCACATATTTTTGGTGTAGACTACTCAAATACATTTGCACCGGTTGCTCGATTGGATACCATCAGGTTGCTACTTGCTGTAACTGCTCAAAAGAATTGGAAGGTTTATCAACTTGATGTTAAATCAGCCTTTTTAAATGGTTTCTTACAATAAGAAATCTATGTTGAACAAACCCAAGGCTTTGAGAAGGAAAGAGAAGAAGATAAGGTTTATTTACTTAAGAAGGCTTTTTATGGGCTGAAACAAGCCCTAAGATCATGGTATAACAGATAAAGCTGACATTCTTATCATTTCACCTTATGTGGATGACTTCTTTGTAATAGGAAGCAGCACAAGGCTTATAGAGGAAGCTTAAGAAAGAAATGATGGAGGTGTTTGAGATGACAGACCTTGGTTTAATGACCTTTTTTCTTGGCCTGGAGATCAAATAAGGAGAACATGAAGTCTTCATTTGTCAAAAGAAATATGTCAAGGAGATTTTGAAGAAGTTCAAACTTGAAGGATGCAAAGAAATAAGCACTCCAATGAATCAAAAGGAAAAGCTATGCAAGGAAGATGGAATCGAGAAGATAGATCAAGCATATTTCAGAAGCATGATTGTATTTGATGTACCTTACAGCAACTTGGCCTGACATCTTAAATGCTGTAAGCATTTATCCCGGTTTATGCATTGTCCAAGCGAAATGCATCTCAAAACTGCAAAAAAGGTGATTAGATATGTCAAAGGCACTTGCAATTTTGGCATCAAGTTCAATGGACTGAAGAATTTAAGCTAACAGGTTTCTCAGATAGTGATTAGGGTGACTCAATTGATGATATGAGGAGTACCTCAGGGTACTGTTTTAGCTTTGGATCAGGTGTTTTTTCATGGAGCTCGAAGAAACAAAAAACTGTTGCACAATCTATAGCAAAAGCTGAATTTGTTGCCGCTACAGCTGTTGTTAACCAAGCCTTGTGATTGAGGAAAATTTTAATTGATCTTAACATGGGACAAAAGGAAAGCACAGAAGTTTTTGTTGACAACCAAGCTGCAATAGCTATTTCCTATAATCCTGTCTTTCATGGAAAAACCAAGCATTTCAACATTAAGTTGTTCTTCTTAAGGGAGGTACAAAGAGATGGAGTTGTTGTTCTTGTTTATTGCAAAACTGAAAACTAAGTTGCAGATTTGTTCACCAAGCCACTTCCAGTAAGCAAGTTTGAGTTCTTAAGACCGAAGATTGGAGTTTGCAGTTCCAAAATCAAGGAGTGTTACATATTTGTTTTTGAACTGCATGTGGCATTTTATTTGTTTTATCTGTTATTCTTTCAGTGGTTGAATAAGTCTTTCCAGTCAAAGTAGCTGTTCCTAAACTTTAGGAGATAGTATTTGAGTTTTATCTTAGTTTTTTTGTTACTGCAAGCATTATAAATGTATTGCAATTGGCAGCCGAATAAAGAAGAATTTCCACGATTTATTTCATTTCAATTTATATATTCTTCCTCTTTCAGTATTTTATTTCCTCTGTTTTTGCTACTGCCTTTATTCCTTAAACACAAGAAGACGTCTCACTATCTGCCTCAGCAGGATTGAATTATGTGGATGATATGTGTAGTTTGGACAAAAGAAAAATTAATATTTAATAATAACACAGCTGCACTACATTTGAATCTTTCTATACATTGTACACGTAAGGACTTCGAGCACAATCAGTAAATTTGGTGGGGACAGTTTGATAAAGTTCCCGTTGAAGCCAAGGAGACCATTATTGCAGTGCGTGGACACCCAATTCAAATATGCAAATGGGTGTCCTGTTACTAATTAGTTTTAACTTTCTTGAATTGAATGCTTTTCTATTAGTGATGTCAATGTTGAAGACAAGCTAAAATTCTTGAATTGGCACTTGTGGATATATCGAACTAGGTGAACTCTTAACGTATGCCTTAGTGTATTGGTCAAATATTATAAGCTGTGGTGAGTGTTCATATTGGTAAACACTTAATTCCACCTCAATTGAGAATCAATAACAATGAAGGCTAACACATGGCTTCTAAAATAAAAAGATAACGGTGAACTAAATAGCCTTAGAAATTATAAATGAAAATCAAGGGACAAGATTAGTAAGCAGCAACTTTCTTGAATTTAACTAATTGAGGAAACTGGTCACAAGAAGGCAACTTTCTTGAATATTAGCTTTCTTGTTGAAAATTTCCCTTTTGATACTCAGATGAAAGAAGATGAATCCCTTTAGTCATCAACTGATGCATCGAAACATCATAGAAGGGAAAAGGCATTGGCTGTTTGGAGTCGCAAAGTTTCTGAGCCACTTGCTGTATTGATGGCCTGGAGTTTGGTTTGGGAAGCAGGCATGGCAGTGCTAGTGTTGCCACTAGAAGTATTTCATCAACAACTTTTGAATTTGAAGGAAGAGGAAGACGAGGATCCAAGAGATCCTTGAACAACATATTTTGAGTAGATGAATTTGACAGAGACGATATTAGCTCTTCAGGATGCCTTCCCATTAATGTTTCTAGTGTTACCACTCCAAAACTATAAACATCGCATTTTTCTGTCACAGTCAATGTATAAGCAAGCTCTGTCATGAACCAAGAAACTAAAAAAGTTAGCTCAACTTCTCATACTACATAATTAAATTTATTCAGTGAAGTCATAAATAGATTTTCTTATTTTAGAAATAAAAATAAAACCTTCACCTAGGGCAACATATCCACATGTGCCAACTACTAGGGTTTGATTTGAAGAGTCGGGATCAAGAAATCTAGCTGTGCCAAAGTCGGAGACAAAAGCCTCCAACTGAGAGTTCAATAAAACATTGCTACTTGTAACATCTCTGTGTAGAATGGGTGGGGTACAATCATGATGCAGGTAGGACAAAGCATGTGCCATTCCCCTAATGATATTCACCCTCTCGCTCCAATTTAATTCCATAGCTTCCATGTCATTATTCAAGGCATAAAATAAGCTACCACTTTCCATGTATTGATAGATTAGAAACATGCACCGATTGTGGAGGCAAAAGCCATGAAGGTTCACAATGTTTTTGTGGCGTATTTCTGTTAGCATCTTGACCTCGTTCCGAAAACTCTTGTCAAATGATGGATTTTCAGATTCCATTTGGTGAAGTTTCTTCAATGCAACAATTTTGCCACTTGGCAATTGTGCTCTATAAACACTGCCATATGCACCTGTTCCAATGCAGTACTTGATGTGAAAGTCCTCAGTGGCTTCAATGATGTCTTCAAATGCAATTTTACCATCATAGTTCCATACAGAAAACAAGTCCCCACTCTTTGCTAATCTTCCTTCAAATTTGGTTCTAGACATGCATCTTGCGAAATATAATGCTAGAAGAATTGCAAAAGGAATAGTCAAGATGATAGGAAGAACAAACACAATGGTAGGCTTAGCTTCACTGGTTCGATAATTGGTTTGGATGGAAGGATAACAAGATGTAAAATCGGGTGGGTTGTAACTATTTAGTGAGTTTTTTGGGAAAGAACAATAATCAGGTATGTTTGACTTCACATCAAGGTCCTGTGAAAAGTCAAAAGAATTGTATGAAAGGTTTATATATGATAGAGTAGCAAGTGCCTTATTTAGTTTACCTGTGAGATTGTTATAACTAAGATCCAACCTATCTAGTATGGAATTCATGGCTAAAAGAGAAGGAATCTTGCCAATAAGAAAATTGTGGCTTAGGTCAAGGTTATTTACACAACCAATTTGGCCAGTTATGCTTCCATTTAGCAAATTATAACTTACATCAATCGTTGCAATAGAGGGACATTTCATAGTTTTAAATGGGATCGAACCACATAACTGATTTGAAGAGAGATATAAAGAATGCATTTTGTCCATTTGAAAAAGTTTGGGAGGTATTAAACCAAAGATCTTATTATGTGAAAGATGTAAAGTGTCTAAATTGGACAAATTTCCTAGTTCTTCAGGTATGTGACCTTGTATTTGGTTATGTTCAAGGAAGAGATGTGTCAAATTCTCCAATCGACCCAAAGTAGGAGGAATTGAACCGGTAAGTAAATTTTTTGAGAGATATAATATTTGCAAACTTTTTAAATTTCCAAATTCTCCCGGTATGGGACCTTGAATATGGTTATAATCAAGAAGAAGAATTTGTAAATTCTCTAATTGACCCAGAGTAGAAGGAAGTGAACCAGAGATTGAATTGTTTGAGACATATAATGCCGTCAGTTGTGTCAAATTCCCAAGTTCAATTGGTATGGTGCCTTCAAGTTGGTTGAAAGAAAGAAGGAGAAAGGTCAAATTCACCAATTGACTCAAAGTAGAAGGGATTGAACCCGTTAGCGAATTATTATAGAGAGACAAGCCACACAAACGTGTCAAATTCCCTAACTCTACTGGTATTGAACCTGCAATTTGGTTATTAAAAGCAAGGAAAAAATCATCAGATTCTCCGTTTGACCAAATTTAGAAAAGATAATGCAACTAAGAGAATCGCTAGATTTGAAAGTGCTCTAGGCAGCACTAGCAGCTTACCTTGAAGATGATTATTGGTTATGTAAAGAAATTCAAGCTTTGTAAGTGTGCTTATTTCTGTAGGGATGCTTCCTCTAAGTCCCATTCCATATAGATCTAGAGTCACTAAATTGGGGAAGGCAGTGACTTTCAACTTCCCAATCTCCAGCATTTCTTGTGAAGGAGGAATACTTAACTCCAATGCAAAAATATCTGTAACGCTTCCAGCTTCATTGCATTTAATACCTTCCCAATCACAATGGTTTGAGATATTTGGGTGATGATTCCACCAACCCGTTTGGAGCAAAGCCCGTTTTTCTTTATTCATATTTGAAAGTGCAATGCTTGTGGACATGATCATGAGCATGGCAGAGATAAGTGTCACTGCCACTAAACTGCCCATACTTTTTTAGATTCAATTTAACGGTGGCTATGGCTAATGATGGAATACAGATATTGGCACTGGGTGTGGGAATTGCCATGTATAACAACATGTGTTCCCAGTTTCCTATCAACTTCTTGCTTCGATCGAGTGACGCGGTTTTGCGCTAAGAAATAACGAAGTGATTGGTTAAAGTGGTGGAAGATTGAAAAAAGGTGTGAGGTGCTTATTACGTGTTGGAATGTCAACGAGAAAGTGCATTGATGAGTTGAATCTTGACTTTGACCGATATGTTAAGTTATTTGCTATGCTCCTCCCAAGTCCTGAGTCCTAACTCATTTTCATTTCAATAATGGTCCACACTTCTTTGCATTGCATTGAAATCTTTATGTGAGCACTTTCACATTTTATCCAATGTGGGGAGAATCAGTTTGATCAAGTTCCTGTTGATGTTGAAGCCTGGTAGCTAAAATCATGAATTGGCACTTATGGCCCATTGGTACGCCGTGAACTCTGATAAATAAGCAGGGGTACCATGATACTTTTAAATAAACTTGTTTTAACCAACTTTTATTAGAAAACTATAAAATTATGAGTCAAAAGTCTTTAAATTAAGAGTGAAATTTATATAATTATTTTTGTTTTTATAAATTTTAGTCAATAATAAAAAATATGTTAACAAAAGTGAATTAGAGAGTGTGTTATTAATATTTTTTTAGTTGATTAGTTAAATATAAATGTGAGCAATTTGCAATAGTGTTATTAATCAAATTTAAGATCTCTAAATGACTTTTTGTAGCACTACCTTTCTCTTTTACTCTTTTTTATATGATGGTTTTCATTAAAATATATGATTTTAAAAAACAAATAAAAATAAATTGTTAAAAGTAGTTAAAATAGTATTATTATTTTTTTGTTATTAAAAGAAGATATTTGGCCCAAAACACAAACAAACTATAAAAAGACTCCCGATGTCCCAATGCCAAGAACATCAAAGACACAAAAAAGAATGTAAGAGGGAGGAGGTTTCATCAAAATAAGAAAAATATAGGGACTCTATTAGGTCTAATTTAGTTAACTATGTTAATATATTAGTTTTTAAACTCAATTGTAATATCTTAAATTTATTCTTAATCAAATTTAAATTATATTTTTCATATCAATTATTATAAGAAGTTGAAAAATGTTTAATAATAAAGAGAACATACATAAAAATAATAATAAATACTTTTAAAGTTTTGTAAATGATCTTATATTTAAGATCAATAAAAATTTTGAAGGAGATCTTATAAAAAATTTGAGGTAAGAAAAGTATTTACTCACATTTTTACATCACCAAATGTTACAACCAAGTACTCATTAACTTGCCCCTCACTCCATTCTGATAAATGCAAAGCAAAAGAAAACTGGATTTCCACATAAAAAACATCAAATAAGGTATAAATTCATGAGATTGATTGGATATAAAACACAACATACTAAATTTACTTATTGTTAAATGTTAATACATGGAACTTAGACATCGTACAGAATAATTTTGGATATAATAGCACTAATGATCTAAATACCCAATTACTTAGCAGAAAGTATCCAGCACTAGAAATGTTAAAAAAAAAATTATCACAAGCTATAAACACTTAACAGTCTATAGCCAATTAGCTCAAGACAGTGCATAGAGAATATTTCTTGTTTTGGTGAAAAATTATCTTTTGTTTTATTAATATGTAAATACAGTAAATTAAAAATATTGATATATAAATATATTAATTAGAGCATAATATTGTGATTGCATAAATATAATAATTAGGATTGTAACATCACAATTTCGTTGATTGTTGTACACTACTATAAATTTAGACCTTTTGATCAAATGTAATACATAAATAATATTCAATTTCTTATTTTTCCAAGTGTGCATTCCTATTTAAGTAGGAGAAATTATTACAGAAGAGTAGAGTTAAAAAATCAGGAATCCGGCAAACAGAGAGAGCTCCCCCAGCCCTCTGCAAATATGACCAAAAAAGCTCTAAACCCACAAAAGACCCAGCTTGGTGACAGTGAAATTTTTTTTACCTTTCTGGTACAGTTTGACCAGCAACTCTTGGACACCAGGATCTTCAAATATCACACTAACAATTTGATGTACAGCTTCCTGTAACCAAGAAAATTCAAATTGTCAGAAGTCAATCTCTTCGAAGCAACATATTAATCAAAACAGTGATCACAATGAGTGAATGAATTGACATGAACATAACAAGCAGGTATTTTAATAAGTTCCATCATAAAAGATCTTCAAAATATTTATATTATGGATCCAATTTTTCTTTTCCGTTTTGCAGTGTGAATCTATGGGCCATGTTCATAATTGGATATAAAAGCAATACGGTGCACATATTTGACAGCCAAGTCAACTACAGTGTCAGGAAATATAAAAGGTTCACCAAGAATAAAATATAATGGAAGGATAGAAAATTTGTTTGTTAATGAACAAGCCTGTCAAAGGTTGTTAATGGATGACAATTAGCTTAAATGGATAAACCAAACAAGGGATAGTAATAATGAGTGTATTTGGAAGGTACGAGTTACCATTAAATGGAGTAAAGTGCTAGGAAATATTAATTTTAAATTTCTTTTGGTGAACAAATCAAGTTAATCAAACAACAATACATTGTCTATCTACAGGTCAGCATATATATATGAGGCATTGTATAGTATATGCTACAATTTGGTGCATTTGGTTGGAGATTAGACTAGTTATTTTTAAGAATTTTTCTTTGGCATATCACTTGATTTGGAATCAAGATCGGGCTTTTGGTGTCTAATTGCAATAGGTGTGAAGTACATGACCGTTTTAATGGGTTTTCAGCAACACAAATCTGGAAGTGAGCCTTGGTGCTTTGATAATACAACCTTGTCAGCGGCAAAACAGCTTCTCCATTTGTGAGGGTAAAATAAGATTTATCATTCTTTTGAAGAATCAACATACGATTCTTTGAAATCCTTTAGTTTAAATGCATTTAGATTTAGTGGAAGAGGATTATGCAAATGTACAAGCAGGTTTACTAAATGTAAGCATTTAATAAGTGTAGGCAACATATTATTTATACAAATAGATCATTTACTTGCTTTTTATAAAACTAGTTTAATTTTTATACAAATAAAAATTATAAGTCATATATGACACACATGATTATTTTTATAAAATACAAGTCATAAATAACATATACAACTTGTTATGATAAAATTGTATTTGATGTAGAAATATATCTATATGAAAGATATTTGTTATTAAAAAGAAACTCTATTGATGAGAAAAGAATAAAAAAATTACAAAGAATAATTCTTTTATTAATTTTTTATTTTAGTATTCTCTAAATATTAAATTCTCTTTTATTTTCACTCTATCTGTTTCTTTTGTATTCAATTCTACATGTGCACCTAATTATATTACAATGCATGTTAAACATGGTAATAAAATGGTTTATATTAAATGGTTTATACAAACTACTAAATATGGTAATAAAATTAAACTCATATATAACAAATCAATCTCACCTTAACTTGAGTTTCATAAACCATTTAACTTCACCTTCTAGCGATGTTACTCTGTTAACTTCTAATGTGAACTAGTACCTGTAATACCAACTAAATCTAAACAATGTTTAAAATTTACTAATGGAAAAGTTTTGGTCATCACGTCTATTAGATTATCTGAAGTAACAATCTTCTCTATCAACATATCATCTCGTGTTGTGACATCACAGATGAAATACATTTTGACACTTATGATACATCTAGTTTTTGATTAAGTGAATTTCCGTTTAATAAAAAAAAAAAACACTGTAATATCCTTCTAACATGTACCAAGATCACTAATAAGACTTTTAAGTTATAAATCTTCGTTCACTGCTTTTGTAGTTGACAACGCAATAGTGAACTGTAAAGTCACAAGCCAACCAATAGCACTATCTCCAAGTGTGAAAATATAACCAGTCAAGGACCTCCTACAGTCAAAATCACCAACATAATCTAAATTACAAAATCCAATAATATGACTATAAACGTTATTCATTCCTATGTTAAATATTGATCTGGTGTCAATTGAACCCTTCCAATATTTGAAAATCTACTTTACACCTAGTGAATAAGCCTTCACTAAATTAGCTATACAACAACTAACTACTCTCACTACATGTGCAATATCTAGTCTTCTACAAACCATAACATATATCAAACTTTCAATTGCATTAGAGTAAGACACTGATGAGTCATTAACTCATATAGAAAATTAAAGATTTTTTTGACATATTTCATTGAATTAAAATTATAAGTTAATGCAAATAATTGAAAAATTCAATGGAATGTTGTAATTGCTAGAAAATTGATGAATCATTCATATATTGATGGCTGGCATTTGAATTTTGAAGGGATTAGAAGAAAAAATGGTACTTAGAATTGAAGAGAAGATTTGAATCATTATAAGACACATTTATGGAGACACAAACTTCTAATTGTGGGGACACGAAGTTGACAAAACATATAAAAGCAAAATTTTTTGAAAAAAAAAAGACTTTTTGTCTTTCATTTTTTCTTACGTTTGAGGGCACAAAAATTTAAGTTTTCATACAGTTCTCTAGGGGAATGTCAGCTAGGGCATTTCTTTCTTTCTTGATATAGGATTTTTATGGGAATTTAGGTTACACTCCTTTTTCCCTAGTTTTTGTAATGGAACAGTAGTTTCTCTCATTTCACTTATTTGCTATAAGCTTTTTCTGTGAACATGAAAATCTTTTCTGTAATATATTTTAGTTTCAGTTTATTTACTTCCATTATGTCTAGCTAAATTCTTGGGGTTGAGTCTTTTACTCATTACAATGAACTAAGCATTGAATATAACTCAATATACAAGCTTTAATCTAACATTTTGATTCTGAACTTAATGCCTCTCTGTTTTATGTGAATGAAATTGATGAAAAGGAGCTCATGGCTGAAAAGTTGTGAACTTTCTTGGACTGAGATTAAAATGCTTGTTATAAATTATCTAGGAATAGAAGATTATAATGATGTAGTCATTTGGATTTTAATCTTAATGTTGAACGTTTTTTATTTTATCTAAGGGATTAGGAAACTAAATACGTTTT